AAAGCCATCTTGGTTTTAGTAAAAAGTGAAATTACGCTATAACTCATGAACAATTTGCAAGATTTATACAAAAGTTGGCATAAAACATCCCTTCAGTAAGATGATTATGTGTTCATGAAAATATTTACCATTATTCAAGTGGTTTTGGCGGCCATCTTGAATTTATCAAAATAAAGCAAAAAACCTCAAAAAATTATCTTCTTAAAAACTGCCTGCTTGTTTGACAAGAAATTTAGAATATGGCATGTAAATGAATATGTTGATAGCTCTACACAGTTACTGTAGCAGCTATATTTTAAATTGTTTTTGGATTGCACTGCAACAAAATCATGATTGCATAAATTTAAAACAAAAACTACAGTTTTTCTCAACAGCCATTTAATAAAAATACTTTCCCGATCGAAACTAACCATGAATGATCTTATTAATTTTCGATGGCTTATTTCGACGGCTTTCCCCCTAAATAAAAACTGCTTATGAAGCTTTTCTCATCGAATGTTTTCGCGATGAAAAGTCGGTATCCTGTGCACGGCTCTGTAGACCTTCTAAATTTATATGATGACCCTTTTCACTGCATCAAAAAGAGACTGGGTTTTATTAATAAACGAGATCCGACGTGACCTACTGCACTAAGTCAATAGGATCTCATTACTTAAAAATAAAGAATTAAATCCTGCTACCGTTAAATCAAAACGGGGTATTATTAATCCACGAGACTCTGGCGTGTACACAGCACCACGATCAAATGGGTCTCTTCTTATCTGTAACTAAACCTTGGTATTACTAAGCTACGAAGCCCTGACATGACGCACTGCACTGAGATCAATTTGGTCTTGTGTTAGCTATAAAAATAGATTTATCGATATCTGACACCTCTGTTCTGTGATTCGATGGGTCATTTGTAATATAATAAAACTTATCATTATGAAGTTTGTGAGACTCTGACATGTCACATTTCACCAAGATCCTTTCAGTTTGTGTTACCTAAAATAAACCTGGGTATTAATAATTCACATGCCCCTCCCCTGACCCACTGCACTTAAGCGCAAAGATCTCATATGTCTTATAAATAAAACTGGATATTATTAATCCATGATGCCCTGACGTGACCCACTCCACTCAGATGCAATTACTTTCTTATCAGCTATAAATTAACCTGGGCAGTGTTGATTCTTGAGCCTCATACTACAACCCACTGCAATTACGAGCAATAATCTCTCGACACTTTTAAATTAAATTATTATTCCATGTGTTCCAGAAAATACAGTAAAGTGAATAGTATTAATCACCAAGGCTCTGAAATGAACATTTTCGTAACTTATAATGAGTCGGGCAATAGTTAATAATCCACCAGGTCTTGCCCAGAGATAGGTTAGTTATTGGACTAGCAAACATTTTTAGAGCTATACCTTCACATATATTTTTTTTTATTCTTGTAGGAAACTAACACAGAATCGAAGAATGAAAACATGGTGTCCAAGTTTGGCGTATACTCAGTTATTTATTTGGTATTGGCAATATAATATTGATTTTAACATAATACTTCTCTAGCGTCTATCTGAGTGCTATGTGAAGGTCAAAGTTCATATGATATTGAAATTATCTACCAAAAGTCCTTGTGATTTATGAATGAAATACTGTTACATGTAATGTATTGTTGCCAGAAAAAGCAAAAATGCATTTGGTTCATTGGCAGATTACTAACAATTCAAATATTAACTGGAAGTGCTACTGCAAGTTCACACTTGAGTTGGGATATAGGCGGTGCAGCGTATAAAATCCATCTCACACTGCCTTTACTTCGCACTGACCAGATATTGGAAGACAGTGAAACCTTAAATGCAGGCTGCTTGTTTCTAAAACTACTGTTCACTAAGCTCCACCAATTATCGTCTCTGTTGTGACACCAGGATAATCGCACTCGTCTATCACTATCTCTAAAAAAACATAATGTCCCTTCAAAGATTGCTGTACAGTAACGATTTGCACTTGTAAATATAATTGAATTTCTACTTTTGATAATTGACAGCAGCTAACACCTAAACATTACTTGCCTTTCTTTGAGTACCATTTCTATGATGAGTTATAACAGTTTATTGCACTCTAACAATGCATGTCTTTATTTGGGTTCCATTCCTATAATGATTAATAACAGCTCATGGCACCCTAACAATGGGTGCCTTTATTTGGGTTTCATTTCTATAATGATTAATAAAAGCTCATGACACCATCGCAATGCATGCATTTATTCGGGTATTATTCTATGACGATTATTAACAAACTATTGAACTAAACAATGCATGTCTTTCTGGTATTATTCCTTTAATTGATTAATAACAGCTCACAAAATCTAAACAAAGCATGTTCTTTTTTGTATAACTCCTATATTGAATATTACCAGATCATAGCACCTAAATAATCAATTCCATTACTTTGGTATTATTCCTATAATGATTAATAACAGTACCTAGACAATGTAATTCATATATTTTGGTAATATTTCTATAATGATTTTAAAGAGTTATACATTACCTAAACAATACATGCCTTTATTGGGGACCATTCCTATAATGATTATTAGCAATACATAGCAACACCTATCTTAATATGCTTTTATTTATTTTGATATAATTCCTATATTGATTAATAACAGCTCGCGACATCTAAACAATGCGTGCCTATTTTTCTGCCATTCTTATACTGGTTATTGAATGTTCATAGCAACTGAATAATATATGCCAATATTTTGGTATCAACTCCACATTCAATTCTTTTCTGACTACTCAATTGTCTTCATTTCTATATTAAAAATACAAATATAACAAGATAAAAAACACTTTCTTTTGAATGATGCGAAACCATCTGTATGACAAATGAATAAAAGATTATCGAAAACAAGTCATAAAAAAGTTCGATATATTAGTTATCCCACATACTAAACAATACCCGCTGCTAATGTCATTATAAGTGTACTCATAATAAAAAATATTCTATAAGAAGTCCACAATTTCAAACTAAATTGCAAGTAAATGATTGTGTTTATTTTAATGTATTAACTTATATTGAGATTAGACTATTAGTATATTCTTAAATGAACTATTGACTTTAATCTAAGTGACATTGGAAATGGAACACACAAGCTGTATATGTAATTATTTCAGTAGGAATGTCACACCAATATCATACATGTTTTGAGTAAGTAGGAAGTAATTACCTTGATGTGTTGGCGGTAATAATTGTCTACTGAATTTATTGTCGGCTTGCTCAATATCACTATGCGATAACCTCATATCTACACCTCTTATACCGTACAATATTAGAATGGTACCAAAATATCGCATGATAAAAGTGATGTACGAGTACATCTCAATGTCGGGTATTGCTGCGTCGTGAAATTTAGCTGTAAAATGGGATCCCTTAATAAAAAAAAAACAATCAAGCAATGCCAGAATATCCGTCGACTTTTGGTTTATCACGATTTAAAAAAAAAGTTTGGTGGTCACATCACTGACACGATTGCTACATAATATAAGAACAATGTGACGTATAGAGGCGCATGATATATAGAATACCATGGAAACACCACAAATATGCTAGCGGAGGCAATAAGACATTCATTGAGGCGTACTCAATATGTGCGTTCTTTGATTCGATCACAATTAATGGTTCACCGATTCTTCGTATTTGTCGTGATACTCATCCAATCTATGCAGCTATAGAGAATACGCAAAATCACGCCACTCACTGCCGACGTGGGCATGACAACCAA